GTGCTGCAGAAGGTGGTGGCATGCTCAGTACCAGCTTCTGGTTACCTCTGTTTCTTCTGTGAAGCCATAATGAGAATTACTGTTAATTTTATTGCTCATTAATGTCGTACTTAAAATTATCAGTCTCATAATATGAGAAACCAGAAACTCTGTGGAGATATTCCATTAGAGTAGGAATGAAGCACTCAAAGGAAATAGTTCTGAAACATCCTTCCCCCTGAAATCATAAATCCGGGTCAAATGCAAAATGCTCAAGAATGTAAAACTGGTCAAATCTTCAAAGTCAAGCAATTATTTTCTCTAATTAGGACACTCTGTCTACAAGTAATACAAATAAGCATGGCTGAAGAGTGGCTTTCAATGTGGTTTTTTGGTTGTGTGGTGGTGGTTTGGGTTTTTTTAAGCATAAATGAAATACAAGGTTTCTCAATGTATTATTTTGTCATTAAGAGACTATTTTCCAAATTCAGGAACATCATTATGAATTCTTGTTTTAAAATATCATTTTCTTTTAATACTGCTTATAATCATGTATCATGGCATGAATCTCTCTTTCATAAGTAAGAACTTAAATACAGTATATAATTTAAGTGTGAGCCAAATCTCTGTAAATGCCATCAAATAACCTGGACTTCTATAACTAATTTTCCAAGTAGCATTTTCTGATTTACTGCTTTGCTGGAAGCACAGGAAGGAACAATAGGACTAGAATTTCTTCCAGGGCTGCCTTTTGACAGAGATGGTGAAGACTAGGTTCAGAAACAGCCTTTGTAGCATATATCATCCCACACCATTTTAGTTACTTTTTTATTGTAAACCACAATTTAATTCTCCATGTTTATGCATTTACCTTCTTTTAGATATGGGACAAGATTCAGGTGGCATTGGATAAAGCTAAAGTCTTGCTTCACCTTTATGACTTTCAAAAGTCTTCCCTCTGGCAGTTTCCAGCTCAAGAATTCAGCAGTCAGTTGGAGAGATGAACGAGAAGGGAAAATTTCTGGGGGCTGAGCAGCAAAGTTTAATATCCAAAGCTGAAAAGACTCCCAGATGAATAGAGCAAACCAGACAACCCACCAGACACAAACCCTGGCCCATAACCTGCAGATAAATGTGCTTGCATGGACAATTACCTACATGGTCCAATGATGTCAGTGGAAACCAACACAGAGGTAAGGATTTGAGGGCAGAAGCTTGGCTCTGCTCAGGTTAGGGAAGCTGCTCAGGTATTTCATTTCTTTGTCAAGTGAGACAGACATTAGATGCTTGCTTCCATTACATATTTATTCAGTAGGCCATTATTCAGTTCAAGCCACTCAGAGTTGTTGGCTGTCATGCTGAGCTGGGTATTGCGCTTATCCCTTATTACTGGGAAGCTAGCTGCATATTTTAGACAAGGGCATGAGTGGAAATAAGACTTTTCATCCAACTATGATCTCCTTTTGCCACACAACAAAGTTTTTATTGAATCTTGCGCAGTTTGGGTCATGCCTGAGGAGACACACAGGGTAAGAAAAAGTGAAACTGAACTTCTAGCAGAGTGTCATGGGAGAGTTGGCTATTATGTAACTAAACCAAAATAATTATGCTATAATTTTGTGCTTTTGCGACTGAATTCTTTACACCAGTTTATAAATGCTAAAGTTACCCTCCGTGCGTACTCTTTTATACTCTGCTCATCACTTAAGAAATACAGGAGAAAAAATGTGTTTTATTAATTTACTCCCTAATGCTGTTATTACAGGCTTAGATACACATTTTGTAAACATTTTTAGCTCTTGTTTCATCTTATTGTCTCCACTTGCTTTCTCCTGCCCTGATTTTGCATGGTCTTAGCCAAAGAGTAACAGATGTCCCACTGATTACTAATGTAGAAGACTGAATTTACTCTTGAAAGTCTTTAGAGGACAAAAGGGAAGTCCTCTGAATAATTCAGGCTTCCTTGTCTCTTTTCCATTACTCAATCTGTGCTTTTGTTTTTCTCTTTAGATCTCCATGCTCCTTAAAATCACCTTTTTCTCACTTTTTTCAGAATCCTCTGAAAGTGATTTCTCCCAGCAGCCTAAGCTGGTTTAGACTAGCTTTCAGTGGACCAAACATAGGAGATACAGAGCATGAAAACTTTTCCTTTAAATGTGTCATCCTTCTGTCAGGTTCAGACCCCTGTTATTAACCTTGGAAGCTATTTCTCTTCGTAAATGTCATCCTATAAGAGTCTTCACAAATATATAGCTGAGAAAACTGACGTATTTAGTACTGAGCAGAAAAAAATACTTTTTTTTTTTCCCTAATAGTAATTATTACTATTTATAAATTAACCTCTGGTATCCTGTAAAAGTTCTGAGTTTGTGGAGTTGTTCAGGAAGCACACAAGCTTTGTTCTTCAGATATTTAAGTAATCCCAATGTGTATAGAGAAATACATACTTTGTATTTTCCAAGGTGCAGAGGCAAAATTTGTGCTGAGTGCAAATTTAAAAGTGAGGTTTCTGGCTTGACTTTCAGGTGGGCAAAAAGGAAAAATAGGTCACATGGTTAACAGCAGCCACATGGAAGTTTTGTTTGTTTGTTTGTTTTCTCTGAAGTCTCCCTGAGACTAGTTTAAATCTTCTATCCTTTATACTGATGTTTCCATTTTATTTTGTCTTTCTTCTCATCATCTCTTGGTTCCAGAAGTAGCTAACAGCAACCATTCATTTTGATTACAAACGTATTTGGGTACTTTTCAGCTTAAAAGTATATTTACATCTATATGTAAAAAAAAAAAAAAACAACTGATTATCCTAATTTCAGTTTGTTACACTGTATATATTCAGCTGAGTTCCACAGACAACATCTAAAGAAATGTCATGTTTTCATAGAGTTCTGGCATCTCTGCCTGATGTCCTGCCAGACGTTTTGAGTTAATGCAGGTCTGCCACTCAAAACCCCCTGGTTCTACCATCAGTACATCCTTCAGGCAGAGTAATAGTCACTTTGTACCTGACACAGATGTTTGTAAGAATTACAGCTTGGGAGTTTACATGCATACTCTAAGATACCATGGTGAAAGCGGGTTGAAAGATGATGCAAGGTCATTATCGCAGAACATAGAAGGCTAATAATAATGGAGACTTTTTAGTTCATTATTAAACAATATTTTTGAGCTGATTAATCTTAGCTGTTGTCTGCTTTGCATTAAAAAAAAAAAAAAAAATCAAGGAGAATTACTGTAGGGAGTAGGAGCAGTACGTCTTGGAGCACTATTATTGTGACGGCTTGAGTTTCCCATACCACACCACAATTTTAGTTCTGTATGAACAGGGCTTTCAAGGGCTCTCAGCCTCTCCAAAAGGTACTTCACGGCTCTGTTCACTTTAAAAAATACAGGCTGCTCTGATTTTGGCTAATTCTTTTCTCTGGCACAGCTGAATTATTTTATAGTACACAAACCTTCCCACACTTCAGCTCACATCTCTGGCAATGCAACCAACCCCTGCTCCTACAGAGCCAGAGTGTGTGGAAGGCAGCCATGCAGCTGACTTAGGTTGATTTAAAAGATGGTGATCAGAGAGAGCAGAGTCCTCCAAAATGGGAAGCTCTCAAATGGGGCCGTAGCCACTGCACATGACTGACCTTTCCGTTCATTCCTTCTGGTGTCTGCTAATAGCAGCCCGATCTTCACAAAACATGCTTCCAAAAAAGCTTGGGCTAAGTGGAGAGGAAAAACATTTTGCCTGCTGTGTGCAAGCCTTTTGCCTTAGGTGTTCCTTTTCCATTCAGAGATCCATAAGGTTTACTCCTTTCTTTGCTACGTGTTCTGTTTCTCTTTCAAGTCCTTACCAGACTGAAACACCAGGTAAATCCTCGAGACCCTTAGCCCACGCTATCTGCTGTGCATTTATGAATTTACACACTGATACTGCTCTCCTTTATCCTAGCTACCTTTTTAGTCTCTTGTTTCTGCAATACAGAATCACAGAATTGAAGGGGTTGGAAGGGACCTCAAAAAATCATGGGGTCCAACCCCACTGCCAAAGCAGGTTCCTTAGAGGAGGCTGCCCAGGTAGGTGTCCAGATGGGCCTTGAATATCTCCAGAGAAGGAGACTCCACAACCCCCCTGGGCAGCCTGTCCCAGTGCTCCGTCACCCTCACTGTGAAGAAGTTCTTTCGCGTGTTGGTGCAGAACTTCCTGTGCTCTGTGTTGTGGCCACTGCCCCTTGTCCTGTCCCCACAAACTACTGAAAAGAGGTTGGCAAAAACCTCCATCTCCCACACTTCAGGTATTTATACACATTGATGAGATCCCCCCTCAGTCTTCTTTTCTCCAGGCTGAACAGCCCCAGATCTCTCAGCCTTTCCTCATAGGGGAAGTGCTCCAGGCCCCGTATCATCCTTGTGGCCATCTGCTGGACTCTTTCCAGGAGATCCCTGTCTTTTTTGTACCGGGGAGCCAGAGAAACCAGAGATACACATATAATAATAATGTGAAATGCGAACATCCTTTTTTTTTTTTTCTGTCTATTGCTTGAGTCATACGTAACAGTCTATTGCCTGACTCATACGTAATAAGCAACATGAACACAAAGGGATAACTTTCTTGATGATCTATTTTCTGTTAAGTGCTGTCTGTATAAAAGTCAGAGTATTGCTGTAGGCTACAATACTTCTTTCTGCAGGTCTTGTCACCAATATATCTCATCAAATGTATAGTGCAACTATATCATGATGCCAATATTTTAACCCCATTTCTTTACTACACATTCTTTTTCTTAAATAAAACAGTTCACATCCTAAGAAATATCCATGTTAGAGTATCAGTTAAGTTTAGATTATGTTAAGCTTAGCCTAAATAGATAAGGTTAAAGTCTAGAAAATAGGGCTTTAGACCATGATCCGGGAGAGCTTTTGTGAAATGTTTTCCTGACCTAAATGGGATTATTCGGGTATTTAATCTTAAGTGTAAAAGCTTTGCCAAACTAGAGCACTGTTTAACCATAATACCTCTCTTGCTTTTATAGACTTAAAGGGAAATATGGGAAAGCTAAGCAAAACAACCTCAAACAAGATCTGTGTAACTTCTTTGGTATATAAATATCCCTAGACAGAGGAGAGAGACAACCAGAAGCACCACTTGAGAAATGGAATTCAAGGCACATGTGAGTAAAAGCCTTCTCTTGAAAGCTTGCACAGAAAACTTTAGAATACGTTTAAGACAGAGATATTTGCCACATTTCTTATTATCATTATATCCTCAAAGCCTATTAGGGAATAAAGACAGATTAATTTTTTTGATTAATTTTAGTATTACAAGCCTCAAAAATCCTGCCATTCCCAACTAAACCTTAAGCATTAAGGTCTCATACTCACAAAGTATCCACAAAGAAGAGTTACTGCCAGCCTAGTATCCTGGAGCAATGGGCTCTACATTTTCAATGTGATATTTCTGAATAATTTTTTCACTCCCCTGGACCCACAAAACTGGAAGGTTGTTTTAGTGATGCCTTACCCATGTGGATACCTCTATGTTTTCTTTCCCACATCATTTTTCGTGGTGTTACTATCTTTTATTCCTAGTTTCAAAGAGCAAGGTTTAAGTCTTCTGTAATCCATTAGACACCCATAGTAGCTTTTCCTTAATAATTTTCCTTAAATATTTTTCCTTAAATAATTTCCTATACTATTTTCCAGTTTTGAGAACAATGAGTATAGTTGTTATTGCATTTACTGTAGGTAATCTCAGTGTGGGGAAAAAAAAAAAGAAGCAGGAGCACTGGTTCACAATTCTGTACTTTTGACAACCTTGGAAGAACAAGCAAATCCAAAGCTATAGTACACACTTCTTAGTGTTTTATGTTTTAAATTATGTCCCACATTATGTTATGTTTTAAATCCACGTCCCTGCAGATTTCATAGCCTGGTTATTCAATAAGCATTTTGAAATCCTTGCTCTACTGAAATGATAAAGTTACAGTATAACTTACAAGAAATATTCTGGCACTTTTTTCTGTCCATATCTGACCCAGCCCTCATTGTTGCTTTAGGTAAACTCTCATCTTATTTCAGAAGTCAGTGTAATTCTCATTCTTGTCAGGATGATCTATATTCTGTCTACCAAACAGAAGCAAGCATACAGACAACAAGCTAAACTTCTTTGGAGAAACAAAACAAAACAAAAAGAAAGGGAAATGCTCTTTCTAAAGAGCAGAGGGGAAATTCTAAGTCCCTTTTGCACAGAGCAATTTCATACCTTTGTCTCTCTGTTGCAAGAGGAGGCTGCTAGATTGCATGTTGTCTAGAGAGCCAACAGCTGGAGGAAGCTTTTGCAGTGGTTTATAAAACAATGAGGAGAATGAAAGAGGAATAAGGAATGGCTGTGAGCTGCCCTGAACTACAGGGCATCCAACAAGACTCTCAAGTGGCTATATCAAACCACACAAAAGGCGCATTTCTTCATCCAATGCAGCACAGTTCAAATGGTCATGGCCATGGGCCTTCCCATGGCATCTTGTGAATGCTCTTTGTAGAGGTTCACAACCCTCCTGGAGGATGCACGGGGAGGAAAAAAGAAGAAAATTACATTTGGAAGCTATTAAACACCAAACAGCACTTGTGGCTTAGGAAATCCCCAAGCTATAAATTGCTAGAAGCAACTCTACTGCAGGAAAGTATCAGTTTATTACTGCCTCGCTCTTCCCGAGGGGTCTGCTGTCGGTCACTGCTCAGACCATCGCGCAGGGCTGAAAGTACCTTTGGTCTGATTCAGTAAAAGGAAAATAATATTTTTGTGCCAAGTAAATGATGCATGCAGTGTTTGGTAGTAAAATCTATGATATACCATGTTTCATCATTCAGAGGACCATCTTAAGTGAAGTTTGGTATGTTTCTCACCATGTAAAACATTCAGTGAAGGAAAGAACACGGGGTACAGAACAGTTAGTTAATTTGGGACTAAATCACAGCTCTCCAATAATCCTGCAGAAATATATGAGGTGGGTGTTTGGCATTAGATATTTACAAAGATGTTTACCCAGAAAAGACACAGTTTTCTTATTGGTAACTTAGATTCCCTGTTATGTTTGTTTCTTCATAAAATAAGGCCATACTAAGAACTCTAGTCTGTATGTTTTTAAATGGCTAGAAATATTTATCAATCAAGTGATTTCTCTTGTAAGTCTCAAGCATCTAGCATTTGCAGTTTATTCGCACATACAAGCATTGATATCTTCCTTGGGAAATTACAGGACTCCATGGATTTATATATAGGATATTATAAGAAAAAGCATTCAAGATTTTGGATGTCTGTCTGAAACACAGTGAAGTAGTCCCTCTCACTAATGAGTTCTTTAAATTGAAATCAAAGTCTCATGACAGCTGATAGTTTCACAGAATACTCTGAGGGAAATGGGGGGAAATGAAGGAAATGGGTTATATGCTGTAGAGTATACATAAGTATATAAGGCAGTAACCAGATATCTATGATTGCAGAACCAAAATAAACACTAAGTTCATAGGTTTTGTAAGGCTTTGTGTACATCACAGTTAACAGTGACAAAACCAAGACCAGGGCACTTAAAACCCTGCTGTTGCTGATGCCAATTTACTTAGATCTGAGTAACACATTGTACTGTTTTTCAAAATTACAGGAATTTGTAGACATCAGAATTTGTAAAAACAGAATAAAATTGAAGCTCATTCTTTTACTGAGGAGGGGACATTTTTAATAATGACTTTGTGTCATCAACTTAGAACACGTACAAGTAGTTGGCCTGCAGATGAAATTTGCCATGGAGACAGAGCGAGCGAGACACAGACCACATAAGTATGTACAGTATGTTATTCTTATTCATTCCAAGGGCTGTAATTCAGCAAAGGTTTTCAGCCTGTTCTTTTAACTTAATAAATAGACCCACTCCATGCTCTTCTTCCTTCTGTGCAAGAATAAAGGGCTGATGGTGATTTATTTCATTTATTTTCATTGTTTCCAAACAACAGTCTTTGGTTAGATGATGTACAGGTGAGAATATGGAAGTGTTCAGCCCCTGCAGCATTCACAGTTGTATAACCCTGCTCCAAAAAGTGGTTTGAGCTGTAACGTTAGTCAGCCACTCCTTGATTTCATGCACTCAACATTTCTAAGCTAGTTCAGAGTCATGTTGTATTTCCTTACAGTTGATCAGTACATTTCTGCTTTAAAACTTATCTAATCTGCCTGAGGAGATGGCATTGAGTTGGCTGTTTTTCTTCTTTTTGTTATGTCCATGTTTTAAAAATTAGGTTCATTTCTTCTGAGAGGCTGACATAAGCCTTACAACTAGCTGAGACTGTTAATGCTGAGTTGTGACAACAGCTATTTTTTAAAGAAAATAGGTTTTGCATAGTCTGCCATTCCCCACTATTTCTATATTTTCTTATCCCACTGTCCAGTTGCCATTTCACCGTTGCCTCTGGCTTTAAAATTGCTTAAATCTGCTCCCAGCCTACCCATGCCTACTGTATGGCTGCTTGAGGTCAATCTCAGAATTCCGGTGAGGAATCTTCTTTCATTTTCTGTTATTTTCTGTTTAATGCTTTGCTTTATCACCCCTCAGATTAGTTCATGTCTCTTTTACCCCATTATGGAGCTTTGGAAAAGAAGTGCCTGTGTAATAATGTGTAACTTTTATTAACTTTTAATTCTTGATTCCTGGACCATGAACTCTGTGTGTATTTTATAAACAGCTCTTACTTATAATAGCAATCATAAATACCTATTGAGATGATCTCTGTCATAAAACATGCATTTGCCAAAATCTTATTCCTTGGACTTCCTTGTGGAAGATTATTCTGTAACAAAGAAAGAAACACCGTTTCAGGGGGCAATACTATTTACCAAAGCTAAGTGTGGTATTTTTAACTACGGGCTCCTAAAACACAGAGCTCTACAAAAAGTTCAGGATAAAATCTAATGCAACCCACGCCATCAGGAAATATATTTTCCCTTAAGTAGCATCTCACATCCCCTAAGAAAACATGTGGACTAAGAACTACAATCCTATAAGACCACATCATGTTGCCTTAAATTCATCAAGAACAGACCTAATTTAACTGTTTATATTTATAGGATATGTGAACTTGTAATGTAGTCCTATTACTTTGAGAATTTGAGTCTTGATTTCTAAATCAACATCTTTTAGAAATCTTTTAAGTTAGTAAATGTGTTCCTTGCCAAACCAAGCAGCAGCAGCAGCTGTTTCCTTTTGTATTCAACATTGACAAGCCACCTCTCAGTCTGTATAGAGGACACTTCTGCACCATGAGTTACCATTGTCTGTAGCTACTCATAGCTGCAGAATGGCCCCATCTGAGAAGGATGAGTTTGCACAGACAACTTCTAGTTCAGAATCTGCTCCGTAGATGGCTCAGTGATGGCACAGAAATTGCAAAACTGGCAGTAGTATGTTAGGATCGGCGAAAAAATAACCCATTTATTGACTCTGGTGAAGATTACGGTTCTCGCCAGCAGCATATGGTGTCATAATTAGATGTTATGAAGCTCGTGTGTGGAAAAATGCTACCAGACTTCTGGTTTACAGTACAGTGAGAGGGGAAAAAAAAAAAAAAAAAAAAACTAGCAAGGAGGAAGTTTTGATCTAGGAGCAAGTGCAACACTTTATTCACAGGTTCTTCATCTTTCTGAAACCTTTCAGAGAGGCATCTGTATCTAGTGATATGTGCTTAATAATGAGATGCTTCAGTGTGCTTAAGTAGGAAGGGAATCTTCAGAGAAACAAAACATCAGGAGCACAGTTTGAATTAGAACATATTTACCTAAAAATATATTACTGTTAGAGTAGCGTAACATTGCTCACACTTTTTTGCTGTCTACTCGTGGCCTTCAAACTTTGATTGCTTTCATCCAAGTGCAGTGTTTCCTCTTCACATACAGATACGTGCCAGGCAGAGCCAATCTTAAGTGTTAGCCAACTCCCATCTGCTTATGGTAGTGGATATCAGGAAGCAAACTAAGATTGAAGTCATTTTATCTGAAAAAAAAAAAATATATATATAACAATAATCCTTTAACAGAAAGTACAACATCAGTTATTTGAAATGAAAAACATCAAAAGTAAACATTAGCCCATTTCCCAGTGTTCAGGTAGGCACATTTTTTTCTGGGGAGCAAAATGCATACCAAGCAAAAGATAAATGTATTAGTACCTGAGGTGGTTAAAAAGCTGGATTCTAAACCAGGCCATGAGGACACGAGTAGCCATCCAGAGCGGAGACATCAGTCAGACTAGTATAGTTGCTCAAGAGCAGTATTAAAACAATTAAATGTAAGCGGTTTAATTTGATTTTATACTCTAAATATAAATAGTTTTCAGAAAATAAGACTATAAGGTCTTCTGGCAGTTTTTAACTTCTGTTTTCTTGGTATGCTACAAATAAGCATAGAAATAAACATTTTAATAGAATTTGGCATTAATAGATTAGTAAAGGATTATTTTGACAAGTCTTTGCGTATTGCTAGAATAGTACACTACAAGTATACATTTCTAACAAAAGTAGAAAAATGAAGGATAGCATTGCATTTATATATAGTAGGAAGTGAACCATCACAAAATGTGAACCCGAATACTTAAAACTGAATAAGTTGATGTGTCATGCTCTTATCCATTGTTCCATCCCTGGCATACAGGAGGGAAATACTGGGTTTGCTAAATGCTTTAGTCAAAACAGCTCTCTGGTTTGGCGTGCCTGTAGATATCGCCTACTGCTCTGGATGCCTTCAAATGCTGTGTCAACAGTTCATAATCCTGTATGCAGAATTACTCCTCTCTTTTATACAAATTCATAATTTTCCAAATATGCTCATCTTTAGTTACCATTTTAATAAAGACTCCTCTCCTGAGTATACTCACATAATCTTGTAGACTAGAAGTGGAAAGGACTTATTAGGTCATCAAGTTTATCCATCTGCCAGTGTGTGATTTTGCCCTACAGTGCACTTTGTAATACTTGGTACAATGACATTTTAGGTGCACAAAGGGAAACAGGTTTTATCAGTTTAGAAAAAAATCTGTGGACAGAGGTCTCTCATTTGCAAGTTTTATGTGTCTTGTTAACCTCCGTGAACATAAAGACTGAAAGGTTTTGCATGTTCTCCTTTCAGAGCGAGACTGCAGCCAGTATTTTTGCCTCAATTACATTGAAACTAAATAATAATAATAAATGTTTGAAGCTATTCCTCCATTATTCTTTTTTTTTTTTTTTTTTTTTGCATCAGAACTTTCATACTGTACTCTCTAGGTTGTAGAATGGATCGAAGGGTAAAATTAACAATATAAACTGTTCAAAAACGTTAAGATTTCTCTCTTCTTTTCCGTAGAGTTTTTTTTTATTGATGCAGGCCCTAGACCAGAGCTTTTATTGTCTTCAAGAAGAGGTAAGGATGTAATGATGAGGCTCTGCGGAACATCTCCCACACTATCTCAACCGTGAGATATCTTTGTTTTCTCACACAAAGGATGTTGCTTTTTGGATTTTGATTGATTTAGAGTTACCTTGTTCCCGTCAGTGGAATCTCGTTGAGGTTAAGTCATTGAATCAGGCTCTGGCAAACACTCTTGTCTCGTGTCATTGTAGCAAGGTACGAGGTAGACAGGGATCTTCAGAAGAGCCATCATACAGCTGCTAGTTTGCTCTGGTTTTTACAATTCTTTTGTAATTAAGGCTTCTAGATAGTCAAAGGCGAACATCTTTTCCCAGCTAGGTGTACTTAGTGGGTCCAAAGTTTCCAATGATATGCTCACAAAGCATAGATGTAGACAACACAAAGAAGCATAAATGCTTTGATATATTTGCATCTACATGCATATCTAAGGTCTGTTTTTAAAACTGTCCCACTGACACTAGGTTAGTTCTGTAAATAACTGTTCTGTGTCTTTATTTGGGAGTTCTGAGCAACTTTTTGTTGTTTCAAGACTCAGGAAATAAGATTGCAGGAGCTGTTCTTCTCTAAGTTTAGTTGTTTTTTTTGGAATGTATCCACTAAAATAGTTGCCTAAAAATTTGGACATGTGTTGCTAACAATTAACCTTGTATTTAGTATTTCATTTCTCTTTGCTGTAGAAGTCTTGGAGGAGAAAAATAATCCTAACATACAGAGCACAGCTGCAGAATTGAATACAGCTGCAGAATTGAATACAGTTTCTATGCAGTTAGAATATGCATTAAATGTCAAATATGTTGATACCAAAATATACTTTATATACAGAAGTAATTGTTTCCTATATATATAAACACAGTATTACCAGAAAAAAAGTTATGTTTTGAATTCAGACTCTTAAAAGCTCTCCTAACACTAATTTCTAGGCAGGGTTATTTGCTTTGTCTTCATGAGAGCAAGTGAAACATCCAGGAGCAGGATCTGAGTGGTACCCACCTCAAAATTCCTTGTTAGTCTTGAAGAACACAAAGTGGGAAGCATTTATTCAAATAATTCCACTGAATCAGTAACGAAGTAATGTTGAACTTTGATCTTTTAATATGTAAGTTATAATAAATAAAAAAAAATCTTTATATTTGAAATAGGATATAAATCTAAAACATCAAACAGTAAAAAAAAAAAAAAAGCACAATTCATTCAGAACTGATTAATTTGATTCTGCAGCTGAAACTTGTTTGCCCCACATTATTTGCAACAAGCATTTAGTAATTTAAAACATAGAAAGTTACTGACAGCTAAGGAGTTTTCTAGAAACAATAAGTCAACTGTTCGTTTTTTCCCAGGCTGTTACAGATTTTATTGCTATCTAATCTAATGTCCAGAAACCCACTGTAAACACAGACTGATGTAAAGTAAACACTGAAGCCTCAGTATCAGATAAACAGAACACTGACAATTCAATTATTTTTTTCCACACAAGTTTTCCCAACTTAATTCACATCAAACTTTCCATATGTATCAATTTCCATGGGACTTTATAAACTTTACATTGTTGTTTTTTGGGTTTTGTTTTCTTTGATGAAGTCTAAAATTTTGCTGGCTATGCTGGGGGTTTGATGACACTGCATGCTTTCAGTAGATGTGAATTCAGAAAACAAATGCAGCATTGTGTATATTGACAAAATGTGGAAATAATACAGAGGTCAAGAAGAAAATATTTTCTTCTTTTTCTTCTTCCAGAAGAAAAAATAGTTTAACTCTTGCATGAGTTTTCTGTATGATTTTTGTGAAACTTCTGTGCTTCTTTGACATTACCTTCCACAAGAGAGAGGTGTATTAGTGGAATCTTTCAGAGACGTGCAGAAAATTGTGTCTAAAGACAGCCTTTGTCGTAAATGTCATGAAACCTAAGGAGGAGAAAAAAAATAAATAAATAAATAAAGCTTGAAACGTGGTATATAATAAACTAGATAAAGGTTCTAAAAGGCCATTTGATAATTGACACTGGAGAGAAAGACAATGGAATGTTTCATGAAGAAAAAAAAGTTATTGATGATGATATTATTTGATGTATTAGGGAAGTGTTAGGGAAGACCAGAGTAATAAAGTGCGAAACCAAAACCAGAGGAGTTGAGACTACCTTTGTGTCTAGACACTGCTGTGGATGTTATTAGGCATTAAGAGTTTTTATGCAGAATAAACAAATTCATACTTCTTTATCTGCCAGCACAGGCAAAAACTAATTTCGTAGATCCAATATAGTTATCTAGTTTCTTAGTGTGTTTTTTTTTAGCTCACTCAGAAAACAGTCAACCATGGTCTGAAAATTTCTAATTAGGAAAATACCAGGGATATTTTTATTGAAAGGCTGGCAGGAAATGGTGCATTAGTGGTATTTTCTTAAAAACTATCAGTTACGTTTCTGCTTGAGTTATCCGAATAGAAAATACAATATAAGAATACTGAAGGCAGAAATAAAAAAGGACAGTGAGCAGGTCAGAGGTGCAAAACTCAGCCTGGAATGGAAAAGGCAGATGTGGATGGGATAAAGGAACTGTGATCCAAACATTCCAGAGAAATGCGCAATAGCTTGTGCAAGCACTCCCCTCAATAATTAGTGCCCAGTTTTGCATGTTCTGAGGATCAGAGGGATTTTCAAAGTGGAGAATACAATGAAATTCAACCCTGGTGCCAATTCCTAACTTCTTTCACCCTGACTGTAGTTAGGCACTCCATAACTAATCACTCAAGATATTAATGTAATATTTTCAAGTAAGCTAGTTTCTACCTATTGCATAACGTCAAAGTTTCTGCAAATTATTGCTGTCCCAGACATTAAACAGGAAGCCAGGCAGTGCTGTGTCTGCAGCTCCTTACAGGGAAGGCACAGAAGTGCAAAATTCGTAGCCAACATTGAAAATAGAAATTTACCCAAGCAGGTTAGAACAATCCCTGAGTCAATGAACATGATTTTTGCTCCTCATAAATTTATCCCCACCCCCCAAAAACAAAGTATCAAAGAAGCTTTTAAATAAGCTTGTGTCCTTCAGGAAGATCATGCGCAGAGAAACAAGCAGTTATTTGCTTATATGAGGGAACGGGTGGAAGGTTAGCAGACAGATCCATATCTCTGTGCTTCTGCTGCAGCAATGTCTGAAGGAATTGGCTGATCATTTTGTGGGTGGTTCTTTTGCATTGCAAAGTCTCAGCTGAATAGCTACAGCTCTCTTCAGCCCCTCTGCTTCCCAAAGTACACAGAGAATTGAGGAATAACTAACAACTGTGAAAATAACTCGGGCATCCAAATATGCTATCCAAGGCCGTCATCTCATGAGACAGGCCAAGCCTTTGAAAAAGAATGACCAGTTTATAATAAAATATGTTATATAAAAATATGTCATTTAAAATGTATCCGAGAATATTATATATTAAAAAAAAAAACAAAAACTAATAAGAACAGGTACGCCTTAAATAAGCTGAATTTCTTGAAATTGCAGCTTTGTGTCATAAGGATAAATAGGACGGGAGTTAAAATTTTCAGATAATAGATTTCAGGATTCAGATATATGAGTCAAAGATAGTTTAGGGGAAAAAAAAAAAAGATCTGGTCAAAAAGAACAGACTGAAAAGATAAAAATGATATATGTGGGTTCCTGCAGATTGCAGGAAAAGTTATTGTACTTTTCACTAAGAAAATAAATTATTAATCTGCTATTCAGATGTATAAACTGAACAGAGTTAAAAACCATACTTGATCAGCAAGGCCTTTCTATTAACTACATTTTAAAGAATTCAAAACTTCCTCATCTCCAAATTTCTGAGTGCACTCATTTACAAAGGTTAAAGGTCCGTGAAGTGTTTTATGTCTCAGGGTTAGCTCACTCCAGAGGGCATTCTGGAGCACAAGTGGCTCAGTCCTCACAGTAATTATTTTCAGACATTTTAAGTTTCATTTATTAACTTGTCAAAATATCTGACTCTTGCTCAGTTCCGTGGGTGGAGATGGTCGCGTGCTAAAGCCAATCTTCTGATCTATTGTTGCTGGCTTTGCCCCATGAGCTTGGAGGCTGGTCCCAGTAGAACAGCTCCTGCCCAGCTCCACTTTAGAAATGCTCCAGGGGCTTTGGTGGGGCTGAGGCAAGGGCAGCAGGGCAGGGTGTCAGCCCTCTGGCACTTCTGCAGTGGCTTGCTGTACCCTGAGGTCCTGGCTTTCTTCCTTTCACAGCATCCATGTCTCACATCTCCACATCTACCCGCACAACTGTCTCTTCTACTTCCTACCAAAATCTACGAGTTCTCCCTTTTCCTGGCCATGCCAGTAAGACCTCCTTGTGACTTGCTCATTCACTCCTTCAGTAGCTGCTGCAGTCTGTGTGTTTGGGTGGCTCTTGTAAGTTGTGTTTGAAGGGAGAACAAAAAGGCGTAAGTCCCCCATTAACTGTAAAGAGGTTAGATGGTTAACCCACTGCAGACAAGCCTGCTTTCATAGATGTACAGCTGTCTAAAGATAAAGTTCACTAGCAAAAATATTGCAAATATTAATTGTAATGTGTGAGAGGAGCATTTCATAATATTCATTTTACAATATATCATGTGAGAGGAGTGTTTTACAGTACCTATGGTCTGATAATTCCAAGGAGTCCTCAAAAGCAGATATTTCTTATATCTGAATTTATCACAAAAAAAAAAAAAAAAAAAAAGTAGTTAATTTGAATTTGACCATATGCTCATAGGAAAAGACAAAGAACAAATAGTACAAGCCCCGTGGGGCAATCTTTTCTGTTCATGCTGGAGATGGATTGACAGTGAAATAGCAATACAGAAGGAATCTCTGATTTAGATGTCCTTCAATTTTTTTCTGTGTGTTAAGTAGCAAAATAAGTAGAGAAATAAACACGAGTGCAATGACTGTGAAACACTGAAAGGTTAAAAGAAAGAGCAGCTTCTAGCTTTTGATTCCCTCAAGATAGCTGAGACGCTGCAGTGTCAGCCAAGAAGGGACTTGCTGATGCCATGCATCAAAATTGTGTGGTGTTGCTTTGTGCTTCTCTGGGGACAGGGCCTGAGGCATTGGGAGAGCTGGCTCTTTTGGCAGGCACAAGTCTGGATAGTTTGTGTTAAACCCTAATGTTGGGGTTTTTCCATTTCTCCAGACGTGCAGTGAGGTGCACGCCTGATGTGTAAAATGAATGCGAACAAGGTCTAGAACAGAAAATGCAGGGCATGCAAACAGCAGGTATGTACCCCTCCAGATGCTGGTGGGCGCCTTGTCTTTTGCAAGAGGCCACGGTTTCCTACTGTTGGAAATAAGGCAATATGTATAGGGGTCATATCTGTATCTCCTAGTATCTCAATGCTCTCTAGAGACAAATTAATAGTAACTTTTAAGATTATTTTTTTTTCCTGGCAAGGCACAGTTTGGATGGGCTTAAGCCTGTATTCCCAAGGAGACCAGGCCAGCCTAGATACAGTCAGAGTAACATTTGGGAAGACTAAAGTGTTTCATTGATAAGGAATGTGGTAAGTCTGTTTGTATTGACGTGGTAGGGCTGTGGTGTTTGACACGTTCAGGAGTCTGGCTTATGTGTTTATTCAGCTCACTGAAAATAATACATTTAATTTAAAGACTGCAGAACAATGTCTTCTCATCCTCTTTTATATCCCACATCACTTCCAACAGCCATTCCTGGAGTGTTAAGAATTATTCTACAGTGAAAGAATATTATTTCATGTGCTGTTTTTTCCTGACTCTTTCACAGGAACAGAAAATAAGGCGAGATTCTTCTTTATATATAGTTTCTTTCCATAAATCATTTCATTAAAAAGACCTTGGTGTCTCTCTAAATGTAACTGGTATCTATTTTAAGGTGAGGTAACACTTGCATAGTGAGCATCTATATGTTTTGGTCTTCTAATTTACTCTAAAAAGAATGTCTTCAGAATTTCCTTTCAGCTTGAAGCCTACCAGAAGCTCAGCTCTTAATAGAAGTTCAATCAGATACAGTGCTTCTAAGGAGGCCTAATAACTGTCTTTCTCTTTTGAGGGGTAATTAGCTCTGCACCAAATAGATTAAAACTGGCTTGCTCATTGTCTTCCAAAATAGCCAATGTGCTAGGTGCAGGGGAAAATTGGTGCACATTGTTAGGCTGATAATATGAGAAGTTACTCAAGGACAAATTCTTTTAATTTTTATGATTTGAATTATTTTTTACTCTGTCTAGCATAAATTGCAATCCACATTGCTTATGTATTTTTACAAGTACTACATCTCATAAATATTAAAGTATTGCTATGGTCATCTTTGCAGCTTTCCAAAGATAATGATGAGGTGAATTGTACTAATTGTCCCTTGTTGGAAAATGGGGTTTCAAAAAGGTTTTGATGAAAAGCTCTGAAAAAAAACCACCTTATTATAACTTTGAGTGGGTTAGTAAATAAATAAAAGCTATTGCCTCCTATCTCCCTGCCCAGAGCTTGCGTATTGAATATGTTTGATTTAAATGTATGCTGCTTTTCCACCTATGTGACATTTCATTCACAGGTTAACAAAAAAAAAGAATATGACCAAATCAGTGGTTAAAAATTTCAGTGTTGTATGTTGTCATTAGAAAGCTGCTTTAAGCTAGAATTCAAAAACCCTTTGATCACTAATGGGATGGTGACAGAAGTTTGCAGTTGGCATGCACCCATCTTGTCACACAAATGATGGAGAGTATGTTGAAAAATGCATGCACATTACAGCCTTCAGTGGTTGTTGTGGCACCTAGGTGGCAAGGTCTCTGGGTCCTTGGTAGCTACCTCAGCACAAACAAAAATAATATAGTAACTAGTGTTCATATCATAATGTTGCCTGCACAGGGCTGCAGGTACACTAATTTTATATGGGAGGTACTGTACTTAAAATATTTTAACGGTAACATCCCCAGGTGCCAGGCTTTAAGACCATGCAGTGTAGCTAGTTGTTATTAATTTGTACAAAATTTACCACACAGCTTCCAGTTTCTTGATGTTTTTTGTCAATGTCTGCACTGGCAGTTGGCTCTGACGTGGTATGTGACCCATTCAGGAGTCAGGTACCTGTCCCAAGGGAAGCTGCCAACATGGACATAAGGGGCAGATCTAACTTTGAGGACACTCAGTACTCTTCCCAGTAGAAGTTCATAAATCTTGCTGTGATCTTTCTTCATCATCAAGTTTTAACAGTGACATGCAGTAACTCCATAACACCGTTTAACAGCAGAGGTAACTGTAAAATAGTGCAAAGGCCTTATTACAGTGACATAGCATGTAACAACTTGATGGAACATGTGGCAAATTTACCTTTTCCTTTTTTCCACCAAGGTTTCAAGGTGCCATCGCGTGCTGGTGCACCTGTGCCGTAGCCCTCAGCACGTCCATCATCACCCCCAGAGCCAGGCATGGTGCCACCTGGCTGTGTGTGCAGAGGGTGAGTAAGAGAAAGCTGTGAGGTTGTTGAAAGAGGAATGTTGTTTTATTCTGTTTTGCTAGTTAGGAAAAGTAAATATGCCAATGTTTTCTTCGTGATGAAGAACCTTACAGTGTGCTTGTTTTGCATGGTGTTGTTCTCCAAAATCTCCGTTGCACCCAGGCAAATGTGCACGCACATGCTTGCAGGAGTCAACTACAAAACATTACCTTGAGGTCACCCTTGCTAAAAAGTAATCCAGCAGCTACTGAGAGAAACCGCCAGGAGAGTCCCTTTGTTGTTTATCTCCCTAAGGCAGTGGCCTTGAATTATGAAAATGGAAGGGGACTGCTCTAAGAACAGTCACGAGGCAAAAATGTCATCGCCGTCTGTATTGATTATTTTTTTTAATCAGTCAGTGAAATCTGTTGATAGATTTTGCATTTCAGTGCCTGATTTAGCTCAGAACGTAAACATCACCAGCTGGGCAGCTCTGTCAATAGCACTCAATTTTCAGAGAGGCTAAATATTCTTACAGTAATGTTAACTAAATTTTTCTTCAGAAATTTGTTCTACTCTGTTTCTCTGCTTAAGAAACATCTTCAGAAATCCAGCCAAAAGCACAGAAGGTCTGACTGTGGTGATCTGCCCTATTTGGACATTAGTAGAACATTAACGAATCATCAGCGTAATGCAAAATTTACTTTTTCACATGGTGATGGTACTACTATAGTTCCAAAGACACAGATATTAAGAGTTTGACAGGAATGGCAGCAACGTTTCTTAGTCATAATGGTAAATGTCATTTGGCTGGTGAGAACCAAAGTTGAGGTACACGGCAGTCTTCATGCACTGTAGCTCAGTAAATATGGCACTGGATCAGGACCAGGATTCTGCTTGTATCTTCTTTTTTCTTTCTAGAAAATATTCTGTTTCCTTTATGCTGTAGTTTGCCGTTTGCCTTTGCAAAAATTACACTTCCTAAAGTTCTCAGAGATCTAGAGATGGTATATGTAAACTATTCTTCATCCTGAAATTTCACTACACTTCCAAAAGAAAATATTTCCTCCAGTTTCTGAGTAGTTGAAGTGGTCATGGGTGATATCTTGAGAGCTTAAGAAATAACAGCATTGCAGTGGTTTTGTTCACAATGACAAAACATAAAGAGGCACAGTAAGGCAGCTTATGGGAAAGATAGTACAATAACAACACTGACCTCCTGACCCTTGTAAATTAGGAAGTGCAATTTCTAAATCAAAAACAGCACCAGAAACTCTGGGAATGGAAACAGGCTTAATTCTTTGTTGTGCAAAGAAACCGAGATTTCCATAACAGCAGTTCAGATTTTTGGTTCCATGGACATGTCCATTTGTTTCAGAAATTCCAGGCAGCTGTGTGCTCAGAGTGGCTTTGGGAACAAGGATAGGCCAGTGGGGAAGTCATGAGGAGAACGGCTGGGGATCTGCACCCTTTCCATGACAAGGAGATGCAGGGAGGAGAGGGAGATCTCTATATTCCTAAATGCTCTCTTTGCAGTCAAGACCATTCTCTCCTGCAGTGTCTGCAGGGCTGTCTTTAACACAGAGTCTGCAACAAGCCATGTACGTTTACCATCAAGGAAGAATGACCCAGACCAGATCTCTAATCTCAAAATAAACACTAACCAGATATAGTGGCATCCATGAAAAGATTCTTTCCACTGCTGCTTCCTTTAATTTTCTGTATGCAAGATTTGTTCAATACTATGGGTCCTGGAACTGATATCTAGCAGGAGTTTGGTGGAACATCCTTATGAGGACAGGCAATTCATCTGGGGCTGGAAAGGTTGGGATACTCTAGGCATACTCTTTTTTTTTCAAGGCATACTCTATTTCTTTGCCCCCTTGTAGTCTTTTTTTTTTTTTTTTCCCTGTATAGTTCCCCCCAGTTTATTCATTGTTCTGCCATTTGAAAAGTGTTTTTCCATACCTTCAAATATTGATTTAATAAGTAGAAGTACCTTTTTGAGTTTTCCAATGTGTGTAGAAAATTAACTGCTGAGAAGAATCCATTCTTATATAAAAAATTAAAAAGATTTTGTATCTTTACAGTATTTATTTTGAAAAATTAAAAAGCATAATCTCACATTGTTCAACTAAATATATACATATATTTTATGATATTTATTTTCACTTTTTTCATGAGACACAATTTTTAGGAAAGGAGACAGAAAACATCTCTTATCTTTAGGAAGCAAAGAGCAAGTGGATCTCAAATAAGCATAACAATTTTTGTATTCATAGAATAATTAGAATTTAGGTGTTTGGGCAGGCAGAAAGTTTACATTTTGTGTTAGTTTATCTGGGAAAACATCTGTTTAGCAAATGCAAAAAGATTGCCTGACATCAACCCAGGACTGGGTCAAGGCAGTATAAATCAGGCTCTACTGCTGCTACTAGAAAATAAAACTATGGCAAGCGCTTGGGAAGTGTAAATTTTGTATCTGTATTACATTTACAGGTGTAAGCTACGTGCTATAAGCATGTGGAGATATGGGAGGAACAAAAGGAAATGTCTCAAGAACAGCCGCAGACAAGACAGTTTTGTAAGCAGAAGTCCCTACCACGCATAGAAAACCCACGTTATGTTACAGCAACTTTGGTGAGTGACGAGGATGTGCTTGTGGGCAGGCTGGAAATCTGCAGGGGCTGAGGCAAGAGGAGGAAAAGAGGTGCCTCAGTACAAAAAACGGTGGATTCCAGGGTTTGCTGGATTCATACCACTGTTACCGCTGTTTGTGCCACAGAGTTTGTGGGGAATGAATGTGAGCTAACTTGGTTCTGTTTTCTTGATGATTCTTCCTGACTGTTTAACTTGGTCACCAGAGTCCACCACAACTTCGTTGTTACTACTTTGGGGTGGTTTTGTGACATCTTTTTACTCTGAGTATCTAATAAAACACCCAGGCTTGCCCAAGCAGATGCTAATGACAGTGAGCTGTTACATCTGAACTAGGATTTTCTGTTCTGTAATACAAAACCAAAACCTGCAAGCTCGTAAACAGCTTAGCCATAAAGCAGGTTGGGATCAATAGTATAGGAGTTCTTCTGTGCATGAGGATCCTGTGCATTACCCAGGATAACTCATAAGTGCTGCCACTTCCCTGTAGCAAATACATGTATACCACGGCCTGTATGAGTGTTAGAGTTAACAAGAAAGGAATGCATGTGACAAGAGGTCATGGATCAGAAGAGATCCCTTCAAGCAGATGTGGAGAGCCAGCCTTCCAGGCCACCCAGCAGCAGCGGGGCTGGCCCGGCGTGGTCTCTGTTCCCTCCGCCCAGAGAAGCAGCTGGACACCACCTCTCCATTCTAGGAAACCCGTACGCTCCTTGGACACGTGGCACGTCTGTGGTCCAGAAGAGAACGTCACACCTGCCTTGTACAGTCAGGGAAAATTGGTCCAATGCTAATCCTGAAGACTGAGATTTATTTATTTATTTATTTATTTTCTTACATTTTCATGACCAGGATTTCCTTTCTTTTGGATCAATCTCATATTGCCATATTTTCTGACCTACTCACAGATCTTCCTTTGCCTCCATTTAGAATAGATTTTTCTAAAAAATTATTTGTTTTTCCTTTCTAATTTCTTCTGCTTTGAATCGTGTTAATTCCAAACTGATCAAGAGTTAAAACAATTAATCCTGTGTTCTTTGGTTTTGTTTTTTTCCAAACGATGAGTCATGAGTACGGATGGCCTTTTGTTATTCTTTAGTAAACTCAAACAAGAATATTTATTCCCTCATTAGAAAAAACAATAAATCAGAGAAGAGAAAAATGTAAAAAAAAATAATTTAAAATAATTCCTGGCTGTGTCTTACAGTTGTTCTTTTTTATTTAGAAAATTAAAAAAATGGGGTGCAGAAAAAAACATCCCTAAAATGTGCTGGATCACTAGTACTGAAGGCTAAATCCTGGAATTTTTCTGTGTCGAGTTCTTATATGAACAAACTGCTGAACTGCAGCATGCTTGAGCCATGCTGGGAGCTCCACGTGCTCTCTGGAACAGCAGTGCTTTGAGCAGAGGCAGCAGAGTGAAGGTTGGTGCACCCCCACTTCCTCCACAAACTCTGTGGTGCAAGGATAAAATACTTTATATGTTAAGTGTGATCTCAGACTTCTCTCTTCACAGTTTTATCAGTTTTTTTGTTACTTGGATGTATATCAAAACAGGATTTTTTGCACTCGTGTAAAAGCAAACGTATCTGAGCAACTCACAACCAAATTTAGTCTTAAGTATTTACTGCCATTTTTATGTTCTGTTTCTGTCCATCTAGAAGCCATAAGATGTATGTTGCAAAAGCCTTTACATGATACAAAGTCTTGCAGCCGTTCCATTGAGTATTTTCTTAGGGAATGGGATGGTGGTGTTTCTTTAAAAAAAAAAAAAATGTGGAGGTCTGTTTTTTTCAGTTGCACAGTGGAAATCTGAATTAGAGATGAGAAGAAAGGATTCCTTGCAAAATAAGTTTGACACCTCGGTGAAAAAGAGGAGCATCTTCTCCAAGGCTTTGTGCCAGAGCCCTAAATTAACAGATTTCATCATTGGCGACAAGAGTAGGTACGTGTTCAGTACAAAAAACCACACCCTGGCCACAGATTCTGAGTTCCCCAGCATTCGGTACACCCAAAGGTCATTAAACTCGTTTGGCTTGCATCCCTCCTGCTGTGAAGAGAAAATGCTGTGGGTGCTGTCTGCTTCACCCGTATGCAGTCATAATGTTGGCTGTGCTCTAAGAGGCTTCACAGCTGTGCTGTAACACAGTTAGTTCCCAACATGACTCAGTTGAAGGATTTTATTTAATCTGCACAGGACTTTTGCAAAAAGAGAATTTTCATTTGTGAAAAGCGTTGAAGCTGTGCTAAGGTGAAAGCAGAAGGCGTGTGAACAGGAGGCTGCATCTCAAAAGCTAATTTCCCACTGTCTTAGGAAATAATTTCAGAGAAATGGAAAGATAGGAGATAAATGGAACAATTTCATTGATTTGGCCACCTTAATTCCTGTAATTGTCCTATTAGTCATCAGTGCTGTGGTCGTAGTTTGTATTACTTCTAGTTCATAAACAGGAATGATTAAATTGCAAGGGTTTTTGTTGTTGTTGTTTGTTTAGTGGCTCTAAATTCGGTTCTTCCGGTAGGTCAAGTATTTTTTAAAAGTGGGCTTGAAGAGAAAACAATCTGCTAGATGCATTTTAGCACTGTGTCTTTGTTCACTAATAGTGCAGTCCAGGGGGAAAAAGATAAAGTCCTTACAAGAATAGTTAGAAGACTTGACCCAGGTTTCACTGATGTGGCATTTGGGGGAACTTATCTAAACTAAGTTCCCCTATTTATTTATATTTGCTTTTGGTGATTATTTGCACTATTTTTGGCTTTTTATTCCTTTGAAGTTATATACCCCTTTTTAAATTTCAAGATCCTCTACAATGATTTAAATCTTTCTAGAATAACAGCAACAAAAGAAATCTTGTCCCTGACATAGGACAATGACAAAAACTGAAGACTGGCAGTTCAGATTAAGCTCTCTTGGGGACAAAGGATAGCTACAGGCCTGTTTTACAAGTCTGAATTTTGGGAACTTTCAAAGTAACACTTAGATCATTTGCTTAAGGACTGATCTTTGGTGTAGGTGGACCTGAAGTCACCTGATAAATATATATTTTGTATTTGTATATATTATATAGTCAAAATTTCATTGACCACAAGACTCAAATGTACAATAAGAATCCCAAATTGCAGAAGGAGTAGCATGAATACTCCAAAGTTGTCTGACACTGAAATTTGACAATAGTTTTGGTCTACACATCGTCCATGGTATCCATGGTAAAAAACAAATATATTCAGTAACAAATTTTTCCAGGTTCCCTCCATGCCCGTTCTCTGATTCTGATATGAATACATTTTTTCCAGTTTAATCCAGATGCCAAGACCAAATATGACAATACATTGCGCTTTTACTCTAGAAATATAAAATCAAATCTACCACCACTTTTATTTAAAGTTAGCGTTAATGAGAAACTCCAGTGCAGCTGATTGTTGCCATTAATTATTTGCTGAGTCACAGCAAAGATGCCCCAGAACTCATTGAAGATGATGTCAATAAGTGCTACTGATTTTTATGGGATGTAATCATGAAGTGATAGAGGTTATGTTTCTATTCAGGAATGTCAGAGTTCATTTCTGTACAAATTGAAGCATGCAGATTGACTCTCCAATGCCTATCAGAAATAGTATATATCGTGATAAATTTGGCTTCATAACTTAGTTGGGGCATAATTTAATAGCCAAGGTGAACCATCCAGAACTGTTCTTAGAATTTAGATTTTAATTGAATGATCTAGTGTTGTTCTGTATAAATTGAAGGAAAGCAGTAGTAAAAATAAGGCATTCACTAAGGGTGTTCTCTGTTTTTTAAAAAGATGAGAAGTATAAGGAAATATTTGGTGAAAATATGAAAAAAATCATATGAGAATGTGAAAAAATGTGTAAGTAAAACCTTACAGGCATGTGCATACAGATTTGAAGCCTTTTGGTTAGGATAGATCAATAGCAGGTGGCTATCTGCTTATTGTAGCTAGTTGATATCTATACGCCAAATAACTTAACCTATTAAGTAAAGTGATACTGGGTATGGAAACCTACAACTGCCTGAAATAACTCTGACATCCCAACACAGACAAGATGGACAATTTGAGAGTATTTAATTCAAACAGAAAAGCCCTTCATCATTCCTTTGAAAGGTATGAAGCCATTTCTGCCTTCTGATGTGTAAGATGTAAAAAGAGACCCTCCAGGTATGTTGAAAGTGTCATCAAGTTATTTAAGATCTCTTCATACTTGCTTCACCCCGTTTCACCTCAGGTGACCCTGGCAGAAGATGACTTTCCCATTTAAGTGCAAATGTATTTCAGGTAAATAGGTTTTGAAGTGAGACCAAATACCTATCAGATTAAAAGATAGCCTCACACTGCTTTGATTTTTTTATGCATGCACAGATGTGGGTCCCTTTTTTGGGGGATTGATAAATGCATTATTGACAGGAGAGACAGTTCCCTGGGTCACTGGTATCTCAGCAATGCTTAAGAGCAAATGAGTGAGCACTCTTGCAGTTAATGAGCTGGACCAAATTAACCAACTGAGAGTAGTAATTAATTTGATCACTGATTTATCAGAGATGCGCACTGACACAGCTTTTTTCATTCACTTTGGAGTCTCTCAAAGCTAAATTGCCAACAAAACTAAATTTGTAACAAAACCTGTTTAAGCCATCTTATTTGGAAAATAGCTCTGTATGTTCTGATTCTTCTGATTATCAGTAAAGTGTTATATGAACAGAGGTTAATTAAAAATAGTAGTTTGATTTTTTTTCATCTATATCTTCCTGTTTGAGGAGCAAAAAAAAAAAAAAAAAAAAGGTGGTACTTGGTCTGCATTCCTTTCAAATACTGTAATAACAGCATTTAGCTGAATTATTGAAAAATGTATTAGTTTGTGAAATTGGTACCTATACATATATATATATATATATATATTTATTTTTTTTTAATGTGAGCCTCCTTCTCCCTAGGTCACACAAAATCCTGATGTGAGAAAAGCACTGGAACAGAAATGTTGCAATTTTCAGGCCTCCCCTTCATTAACTCTGATGAATCTTCAGCAGAAACAGCCAAGTTTGCTGCTGCACAGCTGAGACTTTTCAGTTTTGGGTGTCACATCAGGTACTCACCTTTCATCTTTGCTAGGAAGCACTAAGGATTAAAAATTGTGTTTGGGTTGTATGACTGCTGATTTGCATGAAAAATGCTTTGCCCTGGGCAGGCTGCTGCTGGGCTCCTTTTTTTCCCGTCCATACATCTCGCACGCAGCGCACACTGTGCGTATATAGGCTCGGTGCGCGCTTCACACATGCACAAAAGCTCCAGATGTGCTGTGTATCTTGTTTAGTTGACTTTATTCTTCTGTAAAGCCAAGAGAAATATTAATCATTCATTTACTGTTAGGGGATGGGTCTTCTTCTCATATTTCAGTAAAGGGGGTGGAAAAGTAAAGTAAGCCAATTTTTTTCCTATTTAAGGCCAAAGCTGGGGAATGCTTGTGGCTGAGTTCTGTACATGGCCCGGTGCTGGAAGGGCAGGGAACGACCGATGTTGCTACTTTGAATAGATTTTTCTTTCCCCCCCATTTTTTCTTTTTGCACAGAGAGTCTCATGTCTAATATTTAGACATGATGAGCTTTGTGCAAAAAGTAACTTTGCTCATTCTTGCCGTGTTTCAACCCTCAGTTATTTTGGCACAACAGGACGGTGAGTAATTCAAGCTTCTTATGATTTAATGTTCTTGTTTTATTTTTTATTTTCACCAATCACTTAATAGCTGGTAAGAAACGCGTACTGACAGACCTCACCAGAACACTTTTCCTTCACTAATCCAGCAGTAAAGACAGCAAATGCTGAAGCTGAAAGCTGCAGGAGCATGCATTACCCTCCCAAAGTTGCTCTTCGCTTTGCTGTTTGCCGGTGGCTAAGGGGACTGTGCAGTGCTCGCTGCTGTGCTGCATTTCTTCTTGTTCTTACTTGTTTTCCTATTACAGACACTGGAGAGTTTTTTGACTGTTTCCTTTAACTCGTGGAATAGCGTTTCAAGTGCTGGCTGGGTGCTGTCTGGAAGTTATTTGTCACAAGCAATAAGTCTGCTTCCAGCTTTGTATCTGGACCGCTCCTTTGTACTTGCTTGTTTCCCCACAGCAGCATGGGGCTTTGTTTAAACAATTTGTGCACGGAAAACAGCCTGAGAAATTCTCCTCAGCTCTGATGAAACAGCTTTTAAGAGCGATATATGAAAAATATGTCAGCGTGAGGGGTTTTTCCTTTGACATAAAGCAGGGGGGGTGGCTGAATTCCCCTAAACACAATGGTTTCTGTCGTGCATCTGCAGGCTGCTTTGGTCCCTCCTGGGATTGAGCAGCAACTGGCAGTGTCTGTGAGTGCCTGAGAGTGCTTGTGTGTGTGTGTGCTGGACAGCAAGTGAGTGTGGAACTTGGAGAGAGGAAAAAAAATCCTTCATATAGAATAATTCAGCTTACTAGGGAGATAAGTGTGGTATGGTGATTTAAGTTAAACATTCCCAAGTGCATCTGACCTTTTTTGGATGTGTCCTGGTCCTGCTTGCTAGGCAGTTGAGATCAGACCTTCCTTACGATAAAGCGTATTTCTTTCTTGTAAATAGAAAAGATCTGCAATGTATTTATTCCTGTACTAGGGCAACGAATAACTTTACAAATCACTGAATAAGTGCCGGCCAGTTACACTGCAGCAAAGGAGAGCCAAATGCCTTTAAAGCCACACCCTACCCGTCTGTATGCTGCAAATCAGGAAAACAGCTAGCCAGCTGATATCAAGCCTATCTGCCTAAGCCTGGCTGGAAAGCAGGAGCTTGCCATGAGCCCAGCAGCTGGCTGTGGCAGCCAGGTAGCACTGCCTGCAGCAGCAGCACGCCCAGCACCAGCCCACCTCGCCACGCGTGGGCATGGGTGAGGCACTGCACGGCAGCTGGAATTCTGTAGAGATGAAATGTGCTATGCTGCAGACCGAGGCTTTGCTATTTCTGCTTTTCCAGCATATATGCTGTGCTTCAGTAACCCTCAGTGATGGCAATATGGGAAAATTTGAGCTAACACATGCTGTGAGTTCTTTCTCTCCTTACAGTAACAAACGCTATACAAATATAATTTGCATTAAATATTTGTAATATATTTCCTCTCTCTCTCTCTCTCTCTTCAGAGGGTTAAGGAATGTCCAATATAAAAAGAACAAACATCGGTTTTATTTCTCCCAATAAACTGAGGCCAGGTCTCTTTCCTTCCCTCTGGTTGCTTCCCTGGACGTTTCTGAAGTGCAACACATATTTGACTCAAGAGATGGTAAATCTGGGGTTAGAAGAACAGTATACAAACGAAGTGTGAGGGAGTATTCTCATTTCTCTGCCACATTCCTGTTTCATGGTGTAGTAACATTTCCTTCCTGGGCTCCCTTCCATACTACTTACAGAGATGCAGTTACACAGAGAGACTGATAAAATGCAAGTTAGCCTTTCATATACCCAGTAATATCCTCTCCTTGGAATGCTCCTTTCCACACTGCTCAGTTTGCTTTTCTCACAGGGAAAGAGATAATTGAAGTTGTTGGTTATTAGCATTGCGAATCCGTGTGCAGGGCAGTGATGGACTGGGAAGCCAAATTTTCCAGGATTCAAAAGAGAATTTCCAGACATGCTAAAATGCTCTCTCTTGTCAAGAAAAATGTTTATATGGTTAGTATCAAATGTAAGTCAATATAAAATTTTCCTTGAGAAAGCCTGCCAGGAGACAAGACTTGGCAAGATATTAAGGAAACCGCTCGGTATATACGAAGCTTAGGATAGTCAGATGTACCTCTGGGCTATGTGTTTCTTTGTATGGCTATAATAGCTAGGAATGGAGGCTTGAGTACAGCTCAGATTGAACTTCTTCAAAAGCTTGGGCTCTGGATGTTGTGGAATAAGAAATTTTCTGGGACTTCCAAGAAGAAAAGCTGAGTACCCTGGTAATCCGTTTCAGCCTGTAAACGAAGCCAGCCTGAGACAATTCAGGTTTTCTGACGTGTGCTGAGAATCGTGGTGTAAGGAGCTGCCAAGCCCTGAGCGTGTGCGGTATGAAATGCCTCCTGGTGACTGACAGCTGGCCTTCAGGTAGATGGGACACATTCCAGAAAGGTGTATTCATTTCCACCATCTGCAGGCACCTTTGCACCCTGCATGCTAAGCTACCAAATAGTAAAAGAACTCTGAAAACAACTTCAGGAAAGAAATCCATCCTCTACCCAGCCCACATGACTTGTACACTTGTGTAGTCTTCAGGCCCATGTTCATCTTGTCTGACTTGGGTTAGTAGAGTCAGTACAGACAGCAACTTCCAGAAGACAGCTTTAATTTTAGCTAGACTGGCTGGAGGTACTTGGCAATGTACACTGGCTACACAGGAAGCACATGCACAGCCCTGCTCGTGTCGGGGCCAAAAGCAAGCTGAGATGGACCTGGGCCTGCCTCAGCTGTATCTGAGATGAGTAAAGGCCGTCACGTGGAGCGTGACACTTCTCATATGTACACCCAGCAGTCCACGAGGGACTTTCCTGAGGTCACCGGGAGAACACTGCTGCTCTAAAAGCAGGGTGCAAGCAGAGACAGAAACCCATTGTTTTTATTCCAACTAGATTTTTTCTCTCATGTAATTTAGTGTTTTCATTGTAATGTATTATCTTGGATGTCCGGTCAGGAAGTTCATTTCTAAGATAATAACTGGATCTTAAAATATCATTGGGAAGACTTATTGACCTTTCCTATTAGTACAAGTTCCAAGTTATGGTTTTAAAATGAAGGAGGCTTTTGGGGGCAACCTTTAAAAACTCTTTATGCTGAGTACTGATTTCTGATTAAAATACCCAGAAAGAAAGGGTGATATTTTAGGAACGCTTGTTAATAGGTTGATTGAACTATTTTGCTTTCTTCTTTTAATTGAAAGGGATTAGATGGGCAATGGAATAGACAGGTACTGCTCAGCTGCATTGGTACTTCCAGACTGGCATTTTTAGCACTTAGCTATATGCAACATTACAAGTATTCCTTTTTGTTGTTGTTGTTGATAAATTCGCTAGTTTAAGGGTAATGTTAATGATAGTCAGAACTACCTTTCCTGAAAGGTTATGGTAACACAAGCAAAACCTCCTCCAGATTTTTGAAGGTAAAAACAGGCAATGTGTATGTGGTACACTTACTGTGTGTTAACATATAATTGCATACTCTTAGCTCATCTAAACTATTGAAGGTACAGTAGGTCAGGGGTCTACTGCTCTTCTTCTATTTCTCCCAACTAGTTCATAGCAGACAATATTCTGCTTAGGAAAGTTGATACATCCCTTTCTGGTTTGGAAAAATCATGCTAAACGAAAGCCTGGGGAATCCACCCCCTCTAAACATTATATATATGTCCTTGGAAATATGTCAAATTTCATAAACACATTTCAGATCACACATCCCTGGAAGACATTAGACTTAGGAAAATGAGACCATTAAATATCCTTTTCATTATTTTCCATATTTGTTTTTGATTTGAGACCAAGTCTACACAGACTGCATTTTTAAAGGAGGAGGGGGAGTTGGAAACCTCTCTTGCTTTCTTACAGGGAGAAAAGGCAGAGGTAGAAGGGTGTTGTCTCTGGCACTGATGTTATTGGTGATGTCTCAGAGCCATTACATTTGCTCCCTTCTTTGTGTTGCAGGTTACAAACTGGTCTTATTTCCTCTTCCAGCTTCTGCCAAAATTTTGAGGATTGAAATAGGCAGGCAAAGTGTCACTTGCAGAGTCATACTTGATGCCAGCTTTACACAGCAGCTGAGTGTTAGCTTTAATTAATGCTATTGAAGAGAAGGAAATGAATTAATTACTATTATTTTATCAGCCTGGCTGATAAAGCAAACTGACATGGATCTACTAGTTATTGTCCTGATTATGTGCCAACGTTGTTCATTCCTTGTTTAGATCAGAAATGTGCAGAAAATCGGACATACCGAGCTTTGCAAACAGGAAAGCTTGCTGTAGATCAGTAACAGCAGTGATACAGACAGTCACCTAGCATTTTGGATCAAAAGCCATCTCTTCAGAGTTGAAAGGTTCAGCCTACCAGTAGGGGGAAACAACAACAAAGTGTGCTTCCCCAGGCTAGCCAGTGACCTGAAAGCTACGTTGCTCGATGCTCTTATGGCAGGTTAGCAGTTTGGAGAAAAGCATGAGGCACAGCTGCTGTAGCAGTTGCATGTTTTAATTTGTCGCTTAGAAGTAATGAGTCCTCAAAACCCACAGAACTGGAAATTAGCGCAATTGTCATGTCCATTATTATTCCAGAGTGTGTTATGCTTTAGTCATGCTCAAGCAACAAGGCAAAAGATCTCAGCTGAGAAAAGGAAAGCTATTGGTAATAGCAAATACATGTTGTTAGCAACATTGTTGAATGTTTGAAGTAACTAGATTAGATTCCCAGTTCACTGCAGAAATTTGATGCGATAGAACAAAATTCAATTTATTGTTGGCAATGCCCAGGAACTAAAGCTCAAACTTGAAAAGGACAGAATAAAACCCTTTCTAATTCAACATAAAAATCCTAATTCTAATTCAACACAGAAAAACCTTTCTAATTCAACACAAAACCTTAGGTAGCTTGATAAATTGTACTTGTACAACCTTAAAGTGGCTTAGGGTTCAGTACCTGTCACCTACCTGTACGCTTACAGTTTAAGACTTTCTGGGTTTGATTTTTGGCAGTCAGGTAAATAACCTTTAACCCGAGGTGGAGCAAAAAGGGAGCTATTTTAGTGTCATCGTTTTACCTTGAAGTAGCTGCTACAGTACTTTACCAACTTGTCCCTCCTTCAGTACATCCATGATGTCTTGTGCACATGGAGATCTGGGCATGGATGTGATTCCTTCTTCAGGGGTAATGCACAAAGAGAGCTCTTGTGTCCATCTTTGTAGATGGGTGCAGAAGAGTGTGCTCCAGCCCCAGCCCTCCACATGCTACTCATCTCCAGACAGGCAGGGACCCAAGGGACCGCTCCCAGAGAGAAGGTTGTCTGGGGCCATGCTGCTCATGGTGATGTTCTCTCAGTTACAGACTGCATGGTGACTCACTGCAGTTCTCTCCCAGGACCATGCTGTTAACAGACAGTGCTCTGGCTTAGTAACTGTTGTGGGACGGCTACTCCTGTATGGAGTTTGTTTCTTCCATTGAATCTTTTGATGCACAGGGGTTGTGAAGCTTTGCTTTCTGTCCTCTCTGTGGCTTCTCTGACAAGAGGTGCTTTGTGCCTGCAAAATCTAGAAGGAATCCCCACAGAATTTTCCGAGCCTTCTCCATTTAGCCCAGTCCAGACACTTTGCATTTCAGGCAAATAAGAGTCCCATGCATAACTGTAGGGACAGTGTCATTAATATTTCTCACATTGCTTGACGCTGCATAATAGCTTCAAAGATTAACCCTTAGTTTACTCCTGGTTGTGGCTACCGGACTGATAATCACAGACATTAAAAAACAGAGTATTTGTAACACCTTACAGGGGTCAGAAAGTCTCTTCTGTAAGTATAATAGAGAGGTGTGCTTATTCTGTCTTGAATGCCAGGAGGGTGCAAGGAGGAATGAGTTCCATTGCTGTCAATAACCAATACACCTTTTACACAAAGGCACAGAACATTGTACATCAAATTTATACTTTCAGACAACCATTTCTCTTTCCCATCTTGTAGTGCATAGCAAAGGTTCTCCCCATTTTGCTTGAGAAAAGCTGCCCTAGTTCCAACCGCTATTTATTTATTTCCACTTCAGACCCAATATCCTCATCTCTGAGTGTGCAAAGTTGAAGTCTCTGCCTGCTTCTTGTCAAAATGACAATGGAAAACATGATATAACCCCCTCCAACAACAATCGTTTGTTGGCTTTAGTTTGGATAAACTTCAACTCTGGGACTTCTGGCTTTGTTTAGTGAAAGGACAGCAGAAGAGATTCCTTTCAGATTAACTAAGAGTGCTTCCATTTTCCCTCATTTACGTCAACCCCTTCATTTAAACATGAACTATCAGGATGAGAATGGAAGCGGTACCTCATTTAACAATGTCTGCACAGTTTTCTCTTTCTTGGAATCACACAAATAGTCCAGGAAGAGATGGCTGTCAGGGAAGAGAAAGCATGCACAGGACATTGAACAGGAAGAATGTGAAGATAACGAGAAGATGCATGGCTTAAAGCTGAATGTGTTGTGTTATTTTGGAAGCCCAGGGCTTCTCTAACAGTTAAAGGGGGGTGACATTTGTAAATTTAAGACTAGCTGACTTTGTACAAGAATGGCCTGCAGCATAAGCCAGAGGAACACAAAGCTATCTATAGCCAAAGGAGACCAATCCCTGTCTGCTGCTGCTTTTCTCTCTCAGTTAACGTGCATCCCACCCTACAGGGTGGCACAGGCAACTCTGCTCTTCTGCCAGGACAGCCAAAGGTCTGCTTCCATGTGGAAAACTTCTGTGGGCTGCTATGGTGGCTTCAGGGTCTGTGTTAGTCCCAGCCTCAGCACTGTGAAGGGCAGTGGAACCCAGGAACAACCCAAGCATGGTTGCGGCAGTAGATATCAAAGGATGATCTGTGTCTGGAAACTACTTCCCACAGCAATTCAACACTGGCAGTTCTTGGAAAATTTCTGGACGTAATTATTTCCCACTGAAATTCATGCCCAGTGCCCAGGCATCAGCAGGCCATCTGCTGTAAACCTCTATTTTCCCCCTCTTCTTTCCCATCCCCTTTCTGCTTCTTTTTCTCTCTCTTTTCCTTCTCTCCATTTTCTTTTAGGAAAAGAAGCAAGAGCAAAGTTGCAGCTCCTTTTTCAAACAGACACGAGAGAAACAATTGCTCGCTTGGATACAGCTAATGGAAAATATGGGCAGCATCACTCATTATTCCTTTGATGTTCAGGATAATAGCCACACTGAGCATCAAAGGAGAATGAATTTCATCCCCCATGTTTTTCTTCAGTTATAAGCAGTGAAAATAGCCTTCATATTATCTTGGAAAACACTTCTGCGTTCACGAGAGGCTCTTTTAAAAATTTATATTTTTTTCTGGACTTGGCTTTAAATCCGCTGTATGTTGCTAGCTCGTTTCCCTGCAGAGCAGTAGTCATTCTGTGCCAGTTGTTTAAGAGAGGAATGTTCTAGTGAAAGCAAACAATAGGCTGTGTGGTGGGAATTGCAAATCTTTGAAAAGAGTAATTGAAATCTGCTCAGATAGTTGCAAGATTTTTTTGTGCAATGTTCTGAGCCTGTTGGTGGCTTTGCAGTTGGCAGGGTGGTCCTCTCATTAGAGCACTCTTTTTTTTTTCTTTTTTTTTCTTTTTTTTTTGCATAGACAGAATAGCATAAATATGGAGGGAAAAAAAAATAGGAAAAAAAAAAGATTAAATCCAAGCAATTCTTTTGCTGCTAGAGTAGCTGCAAGGAGAAATAGTGGCGTAAACTTCTTTCAGTGAAAAGGAGGAAAAAAAAAAAAAAGAGGACAGAGCCTCTTCATTTATCAGGTTTCCTCTGGCTCAAGCTCTTCCACTCATACCTTTTAAGGACTCCAACAGATTAACTGGTGCATCTGGCTGTGTCTGCTCAGGATGTTACAGCCCTCCTCTGCTCTGGGGAGCTGCCTGCCCTCGCTCCATGCCAGCTGGCGCTGCGGCTGCATGGGGCTGGGCGAGCAGGATGCATGCGAGGGGCCAGGCAGGCACCGTAGTAAGTGATACTGCTCAACTCTTGTAAGAACAAAAGTCAGCTCTGGCCTTGAAGGTGCTTTGCTATGCCTAAAGTGTGGCCTTCACCTGACAAGGGCTCTAGTTTGGAAGATGCTTAAGCCTTTAGAAAATAGGTGGTGAAGTTGGAAGTGTCTTCAGTACCCTGAGAAAACCCTTGCAATACTGGCTGTAGTAGCCTTAGCAAGTTGACAATAAGAACATCGTGCTCAGTGTACAAATAGCCAATTAATGTCCTCTATGAGAATCAAATACTGCCATCTGTATCCAGCAAACTGTCCAGAATGGCTGTGAGGTGAATTGGTACAAATTGGAACGAGGAGTGAATGAATACAAATCCTTTTGCCGATGAAACTAGGCTAATGATGTTCTAGGCATTCAGAAATGCCTGCTGCATTTTGTTTTTCCCCTGACCTTGTGAATTGCAAATACTTTTAATTTATTGTCAAAGACATGATTCTTTTCTGTGGACTATATGCCAGAGTTCTTTAATCCATCACTGGAATATGAAATACAAGAACCAAAGCCTTCATTTACTTCCAAATTCTGAAATTACAGGGAAATCAATAAAACTGTACAGGGAGTTATGTGAGTGTAGAATTTGACCCCCTGCTGTTTTACTCATCTCTGATGCAAATCCACTACGGCCACAGAGCTGTAAGAGGGCTGACTTTGCCCAAACTATCTGAAAATATAAATGTTATTACCATATGTAATACACTGCACTATAACATTTCCCATCTGTTCCAGTCTCAGGAGAGAAATATTGAATCAAGCTGGTCTCTTCCAAGGAAAAGCAGAGAAATGGCATTGCATAAAGTCATTAGTCCTCTCACTGAGCTAAGGGGGAAGAGAAGATCATGGGCAGCTCAAAACTTTAATTATCTGGAAAAAAAAAAAAAAAAAAAAGTTGTTTTAATTGCAAACTTAGGCAATGAAAAGGAAAACCTGGTTGCACAGCCTGGACAACTTGCTCATACACAATAACTTTCCCAGATTTTCTTCATTCTTTCTCAGAGTAGGCCTATGGCAAGAATGGTGCAAAGAATCCTTCAGCATTATAAATGATTTTTGATCCTGCTCAAAAACAGAAATGCAGAAGAGAATGTCTTGTGTCTTAGAGATACACCTTCACCTTGGGTGATTTTTATCTCTCTGATAGAATGGTGTGGTAGAATGGTGGATTTTGGTAATTTTTTCCACTTACTTAATCTTAGTAGTATTGAACATGAAGCTGTTGCTCTCTTTTAGAAAAATGGTAGGCCAGTTTTTGATGAGATTAAATTGAGATTAGCTTGACACTTGAACTCTGACCATACAAGCATTCATTGACTGCCCAAAGAGTGGGCAGGATGTATGTTTAAAGAAACCAATAAATCCATAAATTCACATCAGACCTTGAATTTATGTCAGCTTCCATCTGATTGCAGACTTAGACATGGGTCTTTGTGCCATTTGGCATCCTTCGCTCTAAAGACAAGGAGCACATCAGAACAAATTACTGCAGAGCAGTGAGAATTTATACCAGTACTACAACTAAATGTCCACAGGTAAACTGATTGCAGCCTGCTGTTTATTTTTAGAGTGACACCAAATGGCACAAAAGGTGATGTGCAAAAAACATTTTAATATAAGAACAGAGGGGATGGAAAAATCTCATAGGTGTTTTACCAGTAATGGTAAGAATGACTGAGAAACTATGCAATGGCCCTCCCAAAGACTCTGCACTGAATTAAGATGAATTTTTTACTTGCTGTGTGCCATCCTCTAACGCAAACAGTTCATCTTGTCAAAATGCTCAGTAAAAGCCCAGTAAAGTCAAGGGAGTTTCTGATCAGATGCTGTTTACCCTTGATCAGGAATGAATGATACATATTGCAGATTATAGCAAAACAAGTCTACCTCTACTTAAAAAACAGGTTAAAATGTAATTGGTTGAGTTGACTTTGGAAAGGAAATCCAAGAATAGCATCCCAATACAAATGGTCATTCAGGAATATATTTCTCTGTTACAAAAAAAAAAAAAAAAAAAAAAAAAAAAAAAAAAAAAAAACAAACAAACATGCATGTAGGCCATGAAGTTGTCAAGAAATAGCTAACAACAAAATTGTTTCTTGTGGCTATCGGGTGATTTTTCCCAAAACAACTCTTACCGATCCAGAAACAGGAAAGAAATGATTCTCAG